CTGGCCCTGGCCTAGGGGCTGGGTTCCAGAAGCGCTTCAACAGGGAGCTATCTGGTCAGGTCCCCTGCAAAAGGAATTTTAACTTGAACTCTAAATGACGAGAAGGAGCACCCCCTCCCCCACCAGGGCGGGTCTGGTGCAGACAGAACAAGTAGGATGTGCTTGAGGGGCAGAAAGGAAACTGAGGTGGCATGCCATTGTCCAGGTGCATGGTGTGGAGGGTGTGGGCACCGTGCAGGAGCTGAGGTCTCCCCTCTTGCGCCCCCACTGTGAGGGGCAGGATGTTGGAGTGGCTATGGATGGGCACAGACTGCAGCCAGACAGCCTGTGTTCTAATCCCAGCCGTGCCACTAACTCATCGTGCAATTCTGGATTAGGTTCTCTCTCGGCCTCTCTGTGCCTCGGTTTACTCACCTGTAAAACGGGGATCATTATCTCAAAGGATTGATGTTAAGATTGAAATACTTAGGAGAGCACCTCGCGTGTGGGAAGGACTGCACAGGTCAGCCCTCATTGTCAGATTTAATGTCATTGGCCGTCTTGAGAATTATTATCCTTTTTTTTTTTAATTTTTTTTTTCAACGTTTATTTATTTATTTATTTTGGGACAGAGAGAGACAGAGCATGAACGGGGGAGGGGCAGAGAGAGAGGGAGACACAGAATCGGAAACAGGCTCCAGGCTCTGAGCCATCAGCCCAGAGCCTGCCGCGGGGCTCGAACTCACGGACCGCGAGATCGTGACCTGGCTGAAGTCGGACGCTTAACTGACTGCGCCACCCAGGCGCCCCGAGAATTATTGTCCTTAAAAGAAACACCTTAGAAACATCTCCGGCAGACGTGGGACTCGTAAAAACCACACATTTCTTCCCAAGCTCAGCAGAGACCTTGTCGTGTGTCCAGTAGCCCAGACAGGTTCTCTGGGATAACTCGACTTTGAAATGACACATTTGAAAAGAAAGTTTATGAGGACTGAGTTCTTGATAACGTAGATCCTAACGATGTGCTCTCTAGGGCCGTCGGCACCTGCTGGTTGGCCATCATATACTACAGCCAATTTTTAAAATCGCTAGTTGTGAGAAATGTTCCAGAAACATCTCAGACCTCCGAGAAAGGTCCAGTGCTCTCCAGAGAGGAGAGCAACGTGGGTAGAGAGACCACCATTCTCCTCAGTGGCGTGGGCCTACCGGTCCCTGGGAGAGTCCTGAACGTGAGCTGGAAAGTGGGGAGCACTCCCCCAGAGCAGGAGCGGCCTTGTCTTTCCCATTGTCCTGGAGCTTAGCCAACAGGTCCTCTTCAGGAATCCTGGGAGATGCCACCAAGACAGAGTTCTGTTTTTTAATGTTTATTTATACTGAGAAAGAGAGAGAGGGAACGGGAAAAGGGCAGAGAGAGATTCCCAAGCCGGGTCCTGGCTGTCAGCACAGAGCTCCAAAAGGGGCACAGAAACCGACGTGGGGCTCGAACCCACCAACCGTGAGATCATGACCTGAACCGAAGTCAGATGCTTATCCAACTGAGCCACCCGGGCGCCCCCAAGACAGAGTCTGTTAAAACAGAATGAAGAGAGTATCAAATCCATGCATAGAGGGTGAGCGGAAAGGAGGGAGGACAAGAAGGAGGGAAGAGAAAAGAAGGAAAGGAAAGGAAAAGGGAGAGAAAGCCCAAGCATGAGGGCTTAGAAAAGATTCAAGAAAGGCAGACAGTATTAGGTATCTCAGGACTTCCTGAATAGAGTTTATGACATGGAGATGAAATTTAAGAGTTTCCAATGCACAGAAAATGGGCTCCCTTCTTTTCTCTTTGGCTTCCCTTCCCCTTTTCCTGACTTTCTCTGGAAGGAAGGAGCCGAGGCTCCTGCCCACCTCCCTTTGGAAATCGAGGGGTGTCCCACCCTTCCCCTTCTCCACCCCCAAATCCCCTGCTCTACTTCCTTTAATGAACAAACTCATTCGAAAGCTTCCAAAGGCTACCATTTCCAGTAATGTTTAGCGACGTGCAAAGAACAGTTGCAAAAAAGTATGATATACTATTGATGAGGTTAAAAACAGCTAAAGAAGTGCAATGCGACTGATCTTTAATGTGCCTGTAAAGAAACATAAAGTAATCGGATTCTCAAGAGTCCCTCTGATTTAAAAAGGGGAAGGGGGCCCCTGGGTGGCTCCGTCAGTTAAGCGTCCAACTTCGGCTCAGGTCATGATCTCCTGGCTCCTGAGTTTGAGCCCTGTGTTGGGCTCTCCACTCTCAGCTCGGAGCCCACTTCAGATCCTCTCTCCCCGCCTCTCTCTCTGCCCCTCCCCTACACTCTCTCTCTCTCTCTCTCTCAAAAATAAACGTTAAAAAATAAATAAATAAAATGAATTAACATAAAAGTGATACATTTTACATTAAAAAATACAGCATAAGCAAGTAAAGAGTCCGGTTAATGTGATAAGCTCGATTAAACTAGTTGCCACTTTATCGATGTTACATACAATCTCTTTTGAACATTAAGATGTATTTGATTTCTTCTCATCCATAATTTCCCTCCTAGAAACATGAATGTCAACAAATGGCACATATAGCAAAAATCTTAGAGAGCTGGGGTTTTTGTTTTTTGCTTTTAGCATTTATTTATTTATTTATTTATTTTGGAGAAAGAGAGAGAGATCAGGCACCACAAGCAGGGGAGGGGCAGAGAAGGATGGGGAGAGAGAGAGAGAATCCCAAGCAGGCTCCACACTGTCAGCGGATTCAGGGCTCGAACCCAGGAACCATGAGATCACGATTTGAGCCGAAATCAAGAGTTGGATGCTTAACAAACTGAGCCACCCAGGTGCCCCTGGGTTTGATTTTTTTTTTTTAACTGAATCATTGATTTTACTAAAAGTTGTTTCAAAAGAAAAAAAAAAACTTTCGTTGTCATGATATTTTAAAAAAACATGGGTCTGAAGGACCATTTGTAATAATACTACTATTTTATGTATTTATTGTGCTTAACAATATCCAAATACCTTCAGGTGCATAATCTTGATTCTCTTAACTTTTGGTTACAGTAGGTAAGGCAACGGAGGATCAAAGAGGCTGACCGTTCAAGGCCCCATAAATAGTACATTTAAAAGCTGGGGCCCAAAGCGGGGACTTTGGAATATCTGGAATATCCATCCCATCGCGTTATAAATGGGATTCCTGTGTTGAGAAGGATCTAGTCAGTGTCACTTTAAGAGTGTGTTATTTTACAAATCAATTTTGTAAGGTACTCTTTCACGTTTATCAGTATTCTTCCTGATTTCCACGTACTTATATTCTTGCCCATGTATTATGTTAAAGAATTCAGGTAACCTCAAAAGAAGCAGGAAGGAAATTTCAGAATTGCCCGCCTGCCGCGCTTTCCAAGGCAGCTCAAGAGCTCAATTTAAATGAGACTTTCATTACTTTAAACTCTTATTATAGAAAATCATACCGAAATTAAGTTCTTCATCCCATTTCCTAAAATCTAACTTTAGTCTGGGGGAGGGAAGGAAAATGAGAATGAGAATATATTGACGTCACGCGCTTAGAAAAAGAAAATCAACCTCGAAGTCTTATCTTTGTCTATTTGCGACTCGTCTTCATTTCTACTCTTCAAGGTCAGCAGAGCACCCAAACTCAGCCAGGTGTCTCTTCCCTGAGACTCGTGCTTGAGCCCGAACACATCTTCTCTCCACGTGGGTATACTAAGTGTCGGGTTGTCACGAAGATCGGGCCAATCAGCATGGATTTGGAGAATAAGGTTCATGGAGTCCGATAACGTCATAAATTGACTACAACACACAGACCTCAGAAGTTTTAAAAACCTTTATTATAGACCCAACAAAAAAATACAGTCTATGAGCAACCGAGAATTTGTCCATTATGGTTATAATTGCAACTTATAATATGCGCCGGTCTCCACCTGCAGGTGGCGAATGGTTACTATAGCCTTGTGCAGCAAGTGTGAACATCAGTTGTGGAAAAGGGTTCCAGAGGAATTAACACTTCAACATATTCTCAAGTGTTGCTACAATGAATCTGTACCGGTGGGACCATAAACTTTTGGTGGTTGGATGGCCCCAGAATGTATGTGGACCATATGTCAATGTCTGTCTTATTCAAACATGGGTGCTCCATAAATACGTGCTGAATGAGTGAATGAATGTATAAATGAGTGAAAGAGTATTGCAAAGAAATTTAGGAATTTGAACATGGCCAGAAGAACATAAGTCCTGCTCCAACGACCCATCCAATCCAATCTTCCTGCCGCGTTGAGTAGAGATCTGGAATCATCCGATCATGTCATGTTCCTCTCTGGTTAGAAACATGAACCACTTGGCCCCTTTGGAGTAGCCCAGAAACAAATGAGAAATGGAGGGGCTGGGAAATCCCAGAGCCTAGCTTTCATTTTTCACCGGATTTCTTGGCTTCCTGTGTTTCTGCTCATTAAACAGGAAAAAACTAAATTGTTTCTAATTTTCAAAACACTTGCATGGTAACTCATTCTAGATGCAAACAACTTTAAAGGCAAAATCACGAGCGGCTATGTAGTATACAGAGCATAGATACCAAAGGAGGCCACATAAAATTAAAAAACACTAAAGAACAAATAGTCCGTGTCGTCCAGGGGGATGAACTATGCAACCCAAGTGAAAATTAAAACCAAAGTGCATACGCTCATCAGCATTGCATAACACAGCTGACTCATTTGCATACAATGCAATTATTTCTGATAGGTGCTGAAATCAACACACCCAGCTGGGTTAGCTGTGTCTCCAAGGGCTTTTTTTCCCCTGCACGTTGGCTGTGTTCCCTCCTGGCCATGATCGCAAATAACCGTTCACAGCACCGTGAGACTGGGAACAGTTGAAATAAGCGCTATACTGATCTGTGCACTAGCCTTCAGGGCCCCTCACGTGAACAAGAAACAGGTCCGATTCTAGGTCAGAGGGCTCCATTCCTAGAACACTGTATCTGATCTCGTGTTTTAGGAACCCCCACTTGTTTGGTGCTATATAAAGAATTCTTCTTCTTCTTTTTCTTCACCCTGGACTGGCAGGTGAAGGAGACATTTTGACACCGTCTTCCTTGCACCAAGATCCCTCTGGCCAGCAAGGGACAAACCATGGATCCTTTCCTTAGAGATTTTATTGTTCTTGGAGGCAGTTGCCCCTAAGGATGAGTCTGGCAAGCAGGATGGTGGCTGGCTGGCCTGGAGATCCCTTGGAAATTTGCTCAGAACAGATTGCCTGGGTTCACAGTTGACCGTGGTGCGCCCTGTGTCAACATTAGTTTCTGCCTCCAGCTTCTCAAAGCTGTTTTCCGCGCTGAGGACCTTTGCTGTGGCCCCAGGCTGAAGGTGGGGAGAAGGCAGATGCATCCGGGCACCCGTGGCTGCGCTGCGGTCCTGGGATGGGCAACCAGGGTTTTTCCACAAAGTACCACTATAGCTGTCTGACGCTGGGCATCCGCCGGGCGCTGGGCACTCCGGAGAGCCCACCTTGATCCTCCTGGCCCGGCTTCTTCGGCCTCTGGGCTCTAGGGTCCTCCTTGTGGAGACAGGGATCAGCCTGGAGCCCTGGGGAAGCGTGTTAGCTCCCGAGGTGCCGTTCAGAAAGGAAAGCTCGCCATTCCTCACACCAAGTCCTGGATTCAGTTGGACCTAAGGGACAAGGGAAAAAGAAACAAATTCAACAGACGTTTTCCATTAACTAAGTGCCGAGAGCAGACGATGTCCCATTCATCCTCCGCCATGCTGTGCCCACAGCAGACTTGCAACAGAGCCAGTTGAATTGAAGTCATAAGTCCAATCTAATTATGAGCTCTATCAGTATTCAGCTCCACACATCTTTCTCTCAGACTCCCTAAACCAACGTATGACAAGGCTACGAATCTGAGAATCAAATGACCGCTTGACAACAACACGGTTCTTGTAGATCATGTTGTTCAAATGACACAAAGATGTTCGAAGATGTCATCTGGCGGCCTCACTTGCTGATGCAAACAATGTATCACCAACTATGCAATCAAAATCACAATAAAAAGCCACCCAAACACGTGGCCATAGTCAAGATAAAGCCTGGAATAAGAATTCAGTCCTCCAAAGTTGGTAAGTTCTTTTAGATCAGGCCAATGATATATATCTTGAGCTATTGCAAGACATGTGGGCACTCCAGCCAGACTAATAATTCGACAGCTTTTAAGCCAATATTCTTTAAATTGGGGGGGGGGGTGCCATTTGTTTATAGCACAGACCTAGTGTCATGTGGGAAACAAAGAAAGGAGGGAGCTGTGTTCTCTTAATCCCTGGCAATTCCATTCTGGTTCCAAACGTACAGGCCCTACTCAGCAGAGCTCCCAGCCTAGGGTTTACTGCTGTCTCCTTCTGCAGAATGGAGTTCACTGGCCCATCTCCCATCCTTGGACTCTTGGGAGCCTCATCCCCTACTCTTTACACTGCACTCTGACCAAGAAGATTTCTGGAAAAGATAATGTTCTCTCTCTTGTCAGTAGCCCTTAGAAATTGGCATCTAGGGCCTACCCCTGCCTGGCCCTGCCCTTAATCAAATATGGAAAAGAATGTCACAACCGTAAATACATTTTCTAAGTGAAAGAAACCCATCTGAAAAGTCTACATACTGTATGATTGTGACTATATGACATTCTGGAAAAGGCAAAGCTATGGAGACCATGTGGAAAAAAAAAAAAAAAAAAAAGCGAGGGGCACCTGCACGCCTCAGTCGGTTATGTGGCCGACTTCGGCTCAGGTCACGATCTTGCACTTAATGAGTTTGAATCCTGCGTTGGGCTCTGTGCTGACAGATCGGAGCCTGGAGCCTGCTTAGGATTCTGTGCCCCCCCCCCCCCCCCCTCTTCTCTTCTGCCCTCTCCTCTGCTCACACACTCTGCTCCCTCCTGTCTCTCAAAACAATGAATAAACATTAAAAAAAAAAAAGTTAGTGGTTTCCAGGGGTTAGAGGGGAGAGAGGGATGAACAGGCAGAGCTCAGAGGATTTTTTTTTTTTTTTTTTTTTTTATTTTTTTCCAACGTTTATTTATTTTTGGGACAGAGAGACAGAGTATGAAATAAGGAAGGCAGAGAGAGAGGAGAGACAGAATCGAAACAGAGGCTCCAGGCTCTGAGCCATCAGCCTCCAGCCCCATCGCCGACTGAACTCAATGATCACAGATCGTGACCTGGCTGAAGTCGACGCTTAACCGACCATCATGCCCACCCAGGCTACCGCTCAGAGGTGATTTTTAAGGCAGTGAAAGTACTCTGTACGACACTGGGTGGGGGGTAATGTCATTATACCTTGTCAAACAGTTCGCGGCAACACCAGAGTGAAACTCTAATATACCGTGGGTGGACTTTCGGGCGATAATGATGTGTTCATGCAGGTTCATTGATTATGGATGGCGGGATGCTTGACATGGGGGAGGCGTACTGGGCGAAAGGCAGTGGGAGCATAAACATTCTCCAGTTTTGCTAAGAACTTAACACTGACGCAAAAATGTTTTTAGGTTTGTTAAAAGAAAATAAAAGACTGGTCCATATTTATCTCCCAGGCAAGAAGGAAGAAATCAGAACAGGGCAGCAGGTCTAGAAACGACCAAATCACCACGCACGAAAGGCCCCGTAGTTGCTTACTTATGTCACACCTATGTAGGCCCAGCCCCCAATTTTCTGATAGAAACGGGTATAGTGACCGTGATCAAACTGCAAAAAGCGAAAGTTGTTTCCATCAACTTTGGCAAATATTCTCTGTAAAGAGCCGTATAATGGCCTGAGTAGGCCCCATGGACCTGCTGTCTTCATTGTATCATTATCACTGCTGCAAAGCAGCCCATCAATGAGATAAATGGTGGCTGGGTTTCACCTTGTGCAATTTTCATGTCGTCCTCTCCTCTCCCCCCCCCCCCCTGCCCCCCAACCATTTAAAAAGTGGAAAACTATTCTAGCTCCTGGGGCCCGTGTGTGGTTGGCTGATCGCTGCCAGAAAAAAAGCAACGACTTCCTCTCACTCCCAACTGCCCCTCCCCACATCCCAACACTTTTTTTCAAGCAGAAACTTTTCTGAATCACTAGACACGAGGTAAGCTTCTCTGCAGAGCGGCCCTCCGGTTGAAGGCCTCCCTTTGCTCCCCACCCCCAGACACACCACCACAAGGTGTATGCTGACTCACTCACCAGGTCCCTGGAGGCTCCCCCCCTCGAACACACTTTGAAAAACCGGTATTCTGCAGTTCGACCAAGCTAATTACACTGAAATCTCCCACAGGTGTTGCTTCCCTGAGCCAGCCTCTCTCCTCCTTCTCCCCCACTTTCCCCCACTCTTCCTCCCCCCCTCGCTCACGCAGGGAAGTCAGGCATCACAACATCCCAGCCCCTTCTAAGGGACATCATCGACGGCCACTGCATGCCGATGTGTCCCTGCAAAGGAATCCCAGAGGGAGAAACTTGTCCCCAACCATGTTGCACACTGGGGCCCCTGGGGAGCTTTTAAAACACTGACACCAGGCTCCCACCATGTGAGGTTTAATGTCATTGGGCTGGGAGCCACCTGGGCCTGAGGAATTTTTAAATCTCCCACTGGGGTGGGGTGGGGTGGGGTGATTCTAGGCACAACAAAAGTTGGAGTACAGCCACAGAACAGCAGTGTCGCCCAGCAGCATGCTATCACGCGGATCACCTGAGTTCAGCGCAGCCATCAGCTGACTCCCACTCCACATTTCTGGCGTGGGATTTGCCTTTGCCTCTCTCTAATTCCTCCTGCCTCCCCTGCCCTTCCTGGCTTTCTGTCCCTTTTCATTTTTCCTTTCACCCAGTGTTACCTTCTAATAATATCCATCTATCACACATTTCCCTCATGCTTGGTAGTTGGTTGATGGCCCAACTGCTCAAGAAGATCTTTGCAGCTCATGGGTTCAAGCCCCACATCCGGCTCTGTGCTGACAGCTCAGAGCCTGGAGCCTACTTGGGCTTCTGTCTCTCCCTCTTTCCCCCCCCTCCCCAGCTTACTTACACCCTGGCTCTCTCTCAAAAATAAATAAACGTTAAAAAATTATATTCATCTAATAACTTCTCATAAGAAAAACATGGCAAAGGCAGTGATGGCTCACTGTAAAGCCCATTGAACAAGTGTGTAAAATAAAAAGGAAAGGCTTCTCCCCAACTCCAACCTCAAGCGGCCCCAAATTCTCCCTCTCCGAGAACACTACTTGTTCATTCTTTCCAAATCAGAGGGAAACAGACTCTCTCCCGGATGCAGGCTGGGGTCTCCTCTCCTGGGAGAACAAACTCCCCAAGTCCCCTCACAGGGCTGAGCCGCCAGCCTAGCCTCCTGGAGAATCGTTTGACGTTATAATCTACCTTTTTACGTGACCCAGTGAAGTCTTTTTCTTCCGGAAATCCAAACTGGCATAGGGATTCCCATACTCAGAGATCATTCAGGGTTGGTATTAGACTATCCAGTCTGGATGAGGAAATCCACTGGTTTGGTTCTGAGGTCCTATTGAATTTTCTACCAATCCTGAAGAGAAGGAGAAGCCTCAGAGCAACCAGGAAGTGCCTCTCGGGGCAGGGTCTGTAGTCGCCCCTCCTCTCAGCTCTGCTCAGCCCACGGCCCCTCCCCTGGGCCTCGCCCCCCTCGCCCCCCTCCAATGTTCTACCTCCCAGGGACCCCTGAGCAGTCTTTCCTGTTCCAACACTCAGTTCTCCTGTTAGATCAGCTCTTTCCCATCAACACCTCCTTCCGTGTCAACTGGAGTCCAAAGACCCTCATGGCTTCAACCGCTTCCCCGCCCAAACCTCCCACTCCTCTCCACCACTCCCTTTCCTTCTGCCAAAGCCTCCCTCGAGACCTCCCAACTCCGGGTTCCATCTGCGTGCCCACAGGCTCTGAACTTGTGCCTTGAGCTGCAGGCTGCAGAAAAGCACATGACTGTTCAGCGTGACATCACCATGAAGGTGCGCTTTCCAACTGGGCCCAGGCTCCCCGTAGGTCCTGTTTCCTTAGCCAACTCTCAGCTGCTTCAGACCTTCCGAGCTGTCCTCAAACCGTCAGTGGGGCCACCACACCCCCTCCCCAGGCAGAAGGATCTCGCCATCTAGATTAGGGAGAAAACAAAAGCCATCAGCAGCTAGCACCTCTCGGCTGCCTGCCATCCAATGTACCTGCAACATCATCATCCTCCCCACAAGAAACGGGACCAGTCTCCGCTCCGTGAATTCCAATGCCTCCTGCCTTCCTGGCCACCGCCAACTTATGGATGATTCATTTCCTCCCACTCTGCTATCTTGTTTCTCCCCTCCTTCTCTCTACCCCATGCTCGGCCCTCTCTTTTTCCACAACAATTAAACCTGCTCAGGTCTATCTTGAATAAACACATTCCTTCACCCTCTTGCCCTCCGGTTCTCTCTCTCCTCTCCTTCACAGTCAAGCCTGTCTATTAAATGTATCCACACTCATTTATCCTACTAACCTCCCCTTATTTCCTCTACCCAAGGCACTGACTCTCCCCGCTACCAATCCACTGAAATTGCCCTTGCCAGAGATCATCCTCAATCAGCTTCCTTGTCATTCATTGTTACATGAGCTCGGGTTGAATTTTACAAGGCTGACCTTTCTCCTTTACATTTGAAGTCTTTTTTTTTTTTTA